CCCTGGATCCACACTCCTGCAAATGCTCCCTCCAGCATCCGAGCCCAGCTGCCGGAGGCTGCGGTCCGCCCTCCCTCCCCTTGCTGGGGGCTGGTTTGGGCACTCCCTTCCAGCTCAGAGCCGCCATCTGTCCTGTCCTGTCTCCTCCCCTCTCCTCCCCTCTCAACACCAACTCCCACAACTCTGCAGAACTCCTTCTGATGGCCAGACCGGGCTCCAGTCGTACAGAGACCCAGCCACAGCGAAAGCACCCCCCTCCAAGCCCCCCGGCAAGCAGCTCTCTGGCCGCAGCACACACTCGCTCACACAAGGACAGCTGCAGAGTCACCGCAGAGGGACACAGATCCACGGGAACAATAGCAAATGCACACAGCGAGAGGCACACACACACACTGGACTTCTCCTAGCCCGGAGGCGCACTCTGCTCCTGCCCAAGGACAGCTGGCAGGGCTGATGTGCAACGCGCTGGCATGCAACGCACGTCCCCACTGATGTCATCCTGTCACCCGTGCTCGGAAAGCATCTGGGGACGCAGCCCCTCGCTGCCATGGGAGAAGGGGCTGGCTGGGGACAGCCACTGCTAAGAAGCTACCCCCCACAACTTGTCATCCTTCTAATCTGCAGCCATCCTGGTCCCAATGAGACCACCGCTGCTGCCGCTGCTTGTCCTGTGGGTGCCGTGGCTCCTGGGAACCCTGGCAGAGGTAAGCCCTTGTCTCTTCAACCCCCCGTTTGTCCATGCAGGCTCTTGGCTCCAAGCTCTCTGGCGGCAAACGGCTTTGCATAGTCCTACCCCGCTGAGGAATGACGGCATATTTCTGGGCTGCCTCTCCAGCCATGCAGCTGCACCAAATTAGCGACGTTTGCAATTACGAGCTGGCTCTTTCCTCCGATTCCCCCCCCTCGCCATGCCCTCTTGCCCCGGTGCCTGGGATCGGAGAGTGTTACTGCTGCCACGGCTGTGTAGCTCCTCGCCCCAGGAATTGGCTGGCTGCTGTTCCCCAGGGGTCTGGAGCCCCTTCGCTCCCCTCCACGCACACACTCCCAAAAGCACCACAGTCAGTGGGAGAGCCAGAAATGAGTCAGCCAGCAGAGCCAAGGGGGGAATAACTAAAGAAAGATGATGGCTCCTCTGTGGCTTGTTGCAGGACCTGGAGTGGGCAGAGATATTTCCTTTAATGTGGAGGGAACTAGTCTCAACCTAAGCAGGGCACACCCTGCTCGTGAGCAGACTGTGGGGAGACGGGTTTCCCGCGAGCGTGCTCAGCACCCTCTGCGGTATGGAGGGTGCTGGATGCTCTGGAGCTCTCAGACCAAGCCCTTGCTTTGCAGCCTGTGGGGGATGGCAGCTGGACTGAGGTCTGGGATCCCTCCATCCTCCCCCCACCACAAATGTGGGAAGAGGGTGGTGCCTGTAGAGGGAATGAGATTGCCAGGGCCTGTCCAGAGCACTCTTCCTCCCCAAATCTTCCCCTTGTGCCCTGGCTGTTTTGGTGGGATGTCTTCGCCTGTGGGCATGGCCCCGTGTTGGTCTGCAGTCCCAGGACCCATGCAAAAGGCCAGGGAAGCTGCCAAGCTACATCTGCTGAGTGTGTCTCCCTGCCTTAGATAGGGGAGGGCGATGTGAGCAGTGACCTGGACTCTCCTGTGAAGAGGGGTCACAGTCCCCAGAGGGTCGCAGCCCTCAGATGCCATGGCTGGGTGGGACCTGTGCCTGGCCAGCCTGACCCCTGGCCTGGCACAGGGCACCTCTCCCAGCTGTTAGTCTCAGCTCAGACCACCTCACCTTGCCCCTCTCTCACTTGACACCTTCAATCCCCCAGGGCGAGGGATGCAACCGGACGGTGCAGGCAGGGTTGGAGGGACAGGATGCACCCAGTGACAGAGGTAAGTCAAAGCAAAGAGGTCCCCGGGCTGTGGAGGGTGGTCTTGGTGCCCAGGAGCTGTGAGGTGAGCAGATGTGCTGGGCCAGGACTCTTGGAGTTAAGAGTAGCTTTGTAAATACTCTGCTTTAGACTTACTGCAGGCTGCAGATCATGGCGAGGGAAGGGGAGGGAGTCAGCCCCATCCTCTTACAGCAACCAGCCTTGTGGGGGGCAGTGTGAGAGATGGACAAGGCTCCAAGCTCCTTCCTTCCCACGGAGCATCAAGTGGGCTCAGCAGCAGCACAGCCGTAGGTGCCCTGCATGGAGCCCTTGCAGTTGGTGGGGCAGCCCCATGGCTGTGCCGAGCTGGCTGGGGAGCAGTACAGCCACGCTCGCCCTGCAGCCAGCAAGTGCTGTCGTGTGCTTGGAGTCAGCGTGGTGCCCACACGGCGCTGGCCTGTGCCAGTGAAAACTCTCCCAGATGATCTGCAGGCACCAGTCAGGGCATGGCGTGTACCTGGATGTGGCTGACTGTGATGTGGTTAGTGGAGCTTATCTTTGGGGATGTGAGCAGCGTTGTGATCATGGGCCTCAGGGCTGGAGGATGCCTCTGGCCCGTTTTAGGTATTAGTACATTTATACTGCAGAGGTGAATAAGATGGTTGCCAAGTGACAGGTGGAGGCAGGCGATGCAGTCTGTTGGATATGCGAGAGAAGCAGACAAACATGGGTGGAGAACTCGTACCTTCATGAGATAAGAAAGAGCCTGCAATGAAAAACCATCCCTGCTTGAACTCTGCACAGGGCACAATCCTGCTGGCTATCTTCAGGAGGAGATTAACCATGCCCTGTGCTCCTCAAGCTGCTGCGACTGGGTCTCTGCTGAAAGCAAGGGGAGCCCAGGGCAGCTGGCCCAGGTGTAAACACCTGACCCGTGGACACACAACTACATTCAGATAACCCTTCCCGAGCAGTCTGTTCCTAAATCTGCGCTTGAACTGCTCAGGGATGGCACTGAGAAGGCCTTTCCCAGAGGGACTACGTGCTCCTCTTTTGCGTCCATCTAACTTCCCCAATTCCCTTTGCACCCATCTGCTGAGTGAAGCTCTCAGCGTAGCAGCAGGCTCCAAACAAAACGGCATTGCATGAAACAGAAGTTGCATGTAGTTTTGAAACTGTCCAGCTTTGTGGGAAGGCCACAGACAACACCTGAGCAGTCCCCTGCCCCTGGAGCTCACCCCACACTGCTCCTCTTTTGCCGTGTAAAGGCAGCCCCCAGGCAGACCTCTGGGGCAATAGCTGTGCTTGTTTAAAGCTTTCTTCCCATGCCAGATCACGTGTAAGCCTGTTACATGTTGCACATCATAAATTTTAAGTGCTAATTATTACACAAATGTGTTATTAGCACTAGAGCTGTTCTGGTGTTTCCCAAAGACTGAAAGCAATAGAGAACTCATGGTTCACAGCAAGGTTGAGGATGAGGAGTGTGTGTTGATCTGCTAGTGGAGGCATGGGGAGGCAGAGATAGAGCCTGCAAGCATCACGTTGCCAGCTTGGTCCCAACAGACAGGCTCTGTCTGGCTCCTGTTTGTGTAGGTGGTTCCTGAGCAACTCTGAGGGCAGGGTTTCAATAGCAGTTTTGGCCACTGACCCACCAATTAGGCAAAGCCCCATGTGCCACTTCCTTGTCCCCAGATGCTCTCCATCTGGATGCCACAGCACTGGCCCTGCAGCTGCGGCGTGCTGACCTTGCTGCTGCAGCAAGGCCGAGGCAGGGACATACCTCAGGGACATATGGGGGGTTATGCAAATCTGGACCCACGTTTTCCCCATGTATGCAGTATCCTGCTCTTCCCATGTCATCTCTGCACTGGGCAGGACAGTGTGAGTCAGTGCCTGGATCCCTCCAAAGCAGCTTTTACCCTCTCCTCTGTCAGAGCCCACACAGGGACTATTGCAGGGAGCATAATGCCCCCCCTGCCATATCTAACCTGCTCCCTCATCAGCCATTGCTTCTGCAAGGTAGACCCAGAGCCCTTCAACAACTTTAGGGGGGTTCAAACCAACCACGGTCATGAACAATGGATTATACCCAGACAGGGCAACTTTTCTGCCATAAACCAGGGCTGTCTGGACAAAGCATGTGATGGCCTGAAGCCTTCTGGTCTTTCTCCGACAGAAGAAATGCTCCATGCTTAGGAGCATCTCTTTCACATGGTGCCTTTGACACCAGTCCTTTGGGGTTTCTGAGCTTTCTTGTGTTTTCCAAAGGCTGTTCAGAGCCTTTGGGGTCGGGGGGCCTGATTGCAACAGGGCAGTGCCCATGTTGATGGGCCGGGCCAAGGTGTGCATGAGGGTGGGTGGGCTGGGGAGCCTGGCTCTGCAGGCTGGCCGCCCATCAGCACCACAGCTCCTGTTGAGGGTTTCAGCTTTGCCTCTGCAGGGACCCTCCTGAACCTCAGCGTGAGTGACCATGGCCGGTCGGACTCCCTCCTTCTCTCCTGGGATGCGCCAGAGGGGGGTGCCGAGGGATATTTGCTCGCTCTCTCCTCCCTGGGGTCAGGCACGCCACTGCAGAATGGATCTGCTGGACCCAACATCACCAGCTTCTGGTTCCACGGGCTGACCCCTGGCACCCACTACGAGATTGAGGTGACAGCCACGCTCACCTGCATGGAGACCACCAGCCAGACAGTTACAGCACAGACAAGTAAGGGGTTCCACAGGGACTGCAGAGTCAAAGGGTCTAAGTGCTCTTACCAATGATCATCACACTGCTTTGGAGGGCGCAAAGTACAGGTCTGTGCGGAGTCCTGTGAGTCCATGGGGAGGTCGGGTCTTTCCTCAGTTCCACAAGGATTAGGGTCCTTCCCTGGTCCCCAGAGCCCCAGGGGTCACTCCCTCATCCATGTGGAAGGAGGGTCCTGCCCCTGCATCTCGCGTGGGCAGGGTTCAGGCTATATCTTCTCCTGGAATAATATAGGTAATGATGGACCAACCTATGATGTGGACTGCAGAGAGCTGAGGGGTAGAAAAAGTCATGTCTGGAGGTCTAGAAAGAGCTACAAGAAAGTGGCATCTGCTCCATGATTTTGGCGTATCTCTGTCAATCACTGGCTCACCCGCCATGCCTTGCTCTACGCCCTCCCTGACTGATGCCAAGGACTGGGGGAACGGGGCAGGGCTGGTGAGCCCACAGCTCAGGTGAGGATGGCAGTCCTTGCCTGCATCTCTCCAGAAGATCCTTGGGTAAATCAGTGCAGGTGAAGGTGGAAAACCTAGAAAAGGAGGGTAGAGCTGGAGGGAGGGGGTTGGCCAGCAGAAGGGATGGTGTCAGACAGCAGAGGCGGCTACAGGGAGCAGGGGCAGTGTTCACGGGAAGGTACGTGGCAGGACCCACAGCACCAGCAGGAACAGAGGACCTGGCAGCAGATGAGCTCACAGGTAAGCACTGATGGCTTCGCCTTTGTCAGTGCACACCTGGTGTGTTGTCCCTGGCTGATCCTCCCTGTCCAGTTCAGACTGTGCAGAGACTGATCCAAAGGGGATGGGGCAGCCCACAAAACCTGTGGGAGACGGGGGGGGCTGGCAGCGAGGTGATGGGGCTGTGCTTGGGGGATTAGGTTCTGAGCAGCTGGCTGGCAGGACCTCACCAGGTGAAGTCACTGTCCCACTGGCCCTTGAGCCACCTGGCAGGTCAAGCATTGCAAGGCAACTAGCCAACCCCTATCTGTGCCATGTCTGATGCAGGTCCTTCACCTGTCAGCAACCTGAGCCTGAGCAGCGGCGGGAGCTCTGCCATGCTGCATGCCTCCTGGGCGCACGCCCATGGGCAGCGAGATGGCTACCACCTTGCCCTCTACCATAGCTACTCCCAGACGCTTGTGAAAAATGTGTCCATCCTGCCAAACGCCTCCACGTTCCTGTTTGACGGGTTGCTGGCTGGCAGCGAGTACGCCTTGAAGGTCAGCACGCTGGCTGGATCCAGCCAGGCAAGCACCAGTATCCACCAATGGACAGGTAGGGAGTGATGGGTGTGCCTGCCCGGGGGGGAAGGGGGGGGAGGAAGTTTGGCAGGAGGGGTGCAGCACACGTGCTGACTGGGCTGCCGGAGAGGGGGAGGAGGTGTCCAGGCTCCAGACCTGTAGGATGGGGAAAAGCTGGGAGTTTTTCACATCCCCACTGTGAGCCCAGTATGCTTGGCCGAGGGGACAACCTTGCACCTCAGTCTTGCCTTGCAGGACCCACAGCTTGGGTTTGTGTGCTCCATGTCCCCATGGGAGAAGGCCTTGGCTGGTGGGAGCTGCAGAAATGTTGCATTACCCAGGCTGCCACCCCCTCTGCCCTGCAGCCTGAAAGAGCATGACAATATGGAGGGACCTCAAGAGCGCCTCAGCTCGCCTGGGAGACGTGGGAGAGACATCCCTCAGCAGACCCCTGCCAGACCTTCAGCCCCCATGCCAGCATAGAGAGCAGCTGTGGGTGTAGGAGACCCTGGGGAGGGAGAAGGGTCCAGGGAGCCCCAGCCCCAGTGCTGAACCTCACTGCCTCCTGCTTTTCCCCTCAGCTCCCTCCATCCCCACCCAGCTGAGACTCAGCCCGGGCTCCAGCACGAGCCTCATTGCCTCCTGGATGGATGCTGGGGGGGCCGCCTGGCTGCACCTCGCACTCCACAACCTCCTCACCCAGACCGTGACCACGACCCTGTCGGCCAGGAGGGGCCTCACCAGCTACACCTTCCAGCATCTCCACCCCGGCACCCAGTACTGGCTGGGGCTGAGCGCCACAGCAGGGCCCTACACTGTGGGGGGGCCCAATGCCACCGCTTGGACATGTGAGTATGATGGCCAGGGATGGGGGAGGACCTCGGTGGCCCTGGCTTTCTCCCTGCCTCTGGTCCAGCCTCTGAATCCAAAGGTCTCTGCCAGAGCAGAAGAGAGTGTAGAGAGCAATTCTTCTGCTTGGACCTGGCCAAAAGCTGCTCCAGGACCCGTCTCTGGGGCATTGCGTGGGTGCCAGTGAGTCCCCCCACAGTGAATTACCAGTGCTGGCCTGATTCTCCCTGGGATGCCTGTGGATCAGCCTGTGGACTCTCCCTGAGGAGGAGGATGGAAGGGCAGCAGATCCCACTGGTGTGCAATGCAGCTGGGGTTGGGCTCTCATGTGCCTCAGGGCTGCCCAAGGGCAGCAGAGAAAACAGGGAGCAAGGGGATAGAAGTTTAGCTGGTTTGAACTGGAGGCTCCTGGAGGGAAATGGATTTTTGGCCCCCTTTGGTTGCTGTCAAGGGTATATTTTGGGAGCATGTGATAACCTCATCCTGGTGGATGTCCCTAATGTGCCGAATGCTGTGGAAACACTGCCAAGGAAGCCAGCCTCTGGCAGCACAAGAAATTGAGGGTAGCCCTCCCAGACCCCAGCTAGCTGCACCATTCAACCCAACTTCCTCCACCTTCTGGCCTCAAGCTGACAAGGGCCCTGAGAGCAGGTGACTTCCACCACTACAGTCTTGGTTTGCTGCCAACACTGTGTCCATAGCACTGTGGACAGTTCTGGCCCTAGACTTGGTCTCCCAGATGTTCCAAGGAACACCAGGGTGAAAACGGAGAGGGCAAACCTAGCCTTCTGGACAGAGCAAGACTCATGCCAAACGCCAAGAAAGCATTGGCCCTCTCTAGTGAGGAGCCACAAATTATAGAGGTGCCAAGCTGCAAACTCAGGGCTGTTGTGGCCAGTGACTCATCCTGGCCCTGGGCAGAGACACTGGTCATGTGTATGCTGGAAGGACCCGGGTGCCACCAGGTGACAAGTCTCCAGCTCTTTCCTGCTCTGCCTGCCAGTCTAGGAGGCTGGAGCCTGCTCACTGCTGACTCTGCAGCTTGGATTTTGGAAGAGCTCCACACCCCCAGCTGGTTTGTTTCTGCTGTGGAGTGAGTCTGACTTGATCCCTGCCGTTGCCAGTCTGCAGCTCTGACCTACCCGGCTGAACAAACGTCCCTGGTGCCAGACGCACAAGCCAGGGGCGTCCGGCCAGGAGTTCGGTCCAGGCCAGTTCCTGGGAATATCAGCAAGCTCATGACGGAACATGAATGGAGAGGAGGGGGACTTTTAGGAATTTCCCAGCAGGGCTGCCAGCTTCGTCTGGGCTCTGCTAGACCAGGAACGATTGTGCTGGGGAACGGAGACAGCGTGCTCCAAAAGGATGTCTAAGGCTGGATGTAACCCTGCAGATAAAGAAGCAGGGAATGAGGCTTAAGGGTGGATGGGGTCCAGAGCACCCCGTAATCCTGATGCACACAATCCTGTTCCGTTCCCTTCCAGACCCCTTGAGCCCTGGCAATGTGACCCTGAGCAGCACAGAGGAGCAGAGCTCCTTGCAGGCTTGCTGGAGCACCCCAGCGGGGGAGAGGGACTTCTACCTGGTGACGTTGCAGGAAGGAGAGGATGGTGCTCCAACGAGGAACATCTCCGTCGGCGGAGACAGCAGTCACATCACCTTCCATGGACTGAGCCCCGGGAAGCAATACTCTGTCCAGGTGACAGCGGTGGCTGGGCCTTACCGGGCATCAGCCCACAGCACAGCAGCCTGGACACGTAAGCAGAAAGCCCAAGCATGTCCGAGCATGTCCTTTCAAGGCCATTTCTGCCGCCTGATGAAGGGACCGATGCCCGGAGGGAGGCTGAAGGGATGGGGAGGGGGATTGCGGCAGGGGCAGAGATGGGGCTGTGCAGTGCAGTGGCACCTGGTCTGAAAATCAGGCTGTGGGTCAGAGCGGCAAAATCTGCTGCCTCACCCTCGTGAGGGTGGACTCAGAGGTCCTCTGCAGACTTGTGCCAGGCAGTGTCAAGCACGAATCAAGACCATATCCCCGGAGGGAGGCTGAAGGGATGGGGAGGGGGATTGCGGCAGGGGCAGAGATGGGGCTGTGCAGTGCAGTGGCACCTGGTCTGAAAATCAGGCTGTGGGTCAGAGCGGCAAAATCTGCTGCCTCACCCTCGTGAGGGTGGACTCAGAGGTCCTCTGCAGACTTGTGCCAGGCAGTGTCAAGCACGAATCAAGACCATATCCTACT